TATAAGTGAGTTTGCAAATTCGGCTTCTTCGTTGTTCATTTCTGCATTCACCGTTATAAGGCTTGCTTGGTATTGTGCCATCTGCATTGCCAAGCTACGCCTTCTTTTATCACCCATTGATGAGATATTTGATGATTTTGAGGAAACAAAAACACTTTGAAAGTTGGATGATTGGTGAATATGTTGTGTGAAGGTTAGATATTCAACCTTTGCTTATAGAGAGGATGATTGAAGGTTTGCGTTTCATGTGTGTAGGTTTGTGTTTCATGTGTTTCATGTGTTTTGTATGTATTTAGTATGTGTTTCGTGTATGTCATGTGTTTCACATGTTTGGTGTGTTATATACATCTCTATCATGTGTTTTGTATGTGTTTCATATGTGTTCTGTGTGTCTTGTGTGTTTCATGTATTTTGTGTTTATACATCTCTATCATGATTTTCATATTCTTCCATAGTTTTTCATGTATCGATTTAGTAATTTTTCAATATTTATCGGAATTTAAATATTTTTAGGTTAAAATGTTCATATAATTAATTTAGGATGGTCTACATATTTTTTTAAGTTAATTTTAAATACATAATTTTTTTTAAAAAAAATAGCCTAAATTCATTATTTAATAATTTGGGGCTAAAAGTTTAGGCTATAAGGGTTGGAGTAGAAAAACTGTTTATGAGTTAAAACCTAAATTTTCTGGACTAAAAATTTTAGGTTTTACCCCAATATTTGGGGATGGTCCAAGATTTGTCTTTTTTAGTTGAAAGTTACTTTCCTTAAAACAATCGGTATTCAAAGGAGACTTAAATTCAGGAGCTTTTTCAATATTGAAAAAAATAAATAATAGATAAAAATTAAATCATACTCCCCCAAATAAGTAATAGACTAAAAATTAAAAGGAAAACTGATGGAAATGGCTTGAAAACTTTGAGTTTTAACGATAAGGAGAAAATAAATGATAAAGTGAATAGTATCAGGATTGACTTTTTAGTGTAAAAATGTGGTTTTTCGTTAAAGTGAACAGTATCGGAAGTTTTTCGTTAAAGTTCCCAAAATTAAATAATACTCCCACCAATAAGTAATAGACTAAAAACTAAATCATACTCCCGCCATAAGACTTGTCTTTTAATTATGTTGAAAAGTGCTTTTTTGAAAGCTATCGGAAATTGAAGGAGATTTAAATTCAGGAACTTTTTTAATATTGAAAATATAAGTAATAAATCGTCTACTTGCTCCACAAATAAATCGAACTTCTTTATCATAAGATTGTGCCATAGAGGGGTTTAATCTATAGTTAAGTTTTTTCCTATGCCTTGTCACCAAGGACTATGTATTTTCTTTGTATATATGCCAAGAGACAATCCTAAACTAATCGGATCTTAGTTTGCAACTGCAAAGTAAATTGAAAGATAAAAATTAACGCAAGTAATGATACAAAGGAAATACAGGGAAGAAAAGGATGGTTAGATGTTCACCAAACGTTAATTAACAAGAAAGTAAATTGCATATAAGGTTAATAATTTGAAAAGAAATGACAAATACAAGTATTTAGGCAAAGTTTGAACCTATTCAGGCAAAATTGATCACAAATTAAGCAAATTCTTGCAAGCAAGGAAATTTATTTTAGAAAGAAAGTTAATACAAAAAAATCAATTCTACAAGTGATATAGCAAAGCTATAAAGAAAATAAGTGTTTGAATAACAAAAAGAATTTCTAAAAAGTAGGTTTGCAGAGCTTTGAAGTTTTTTTGTGTTAAGTAAGTGTCATTTTCTTCCTCTTTATGCTGCCTTTTATAGAATAGACTTTTCCTTTTAATGTAAGCCCTTCCCCCTTAGTTCATTCCTTATTATCCAATAACTTGCTGATTTGACTGCTGTCAGATGATGAGTTTTCATCTAGTAGCTTGAGCTTTTTCCCTTTAAAACTACAATTTTTCCACCAGATAGCAACTGTCCTCTGTGAAAATAAAAAAATCAACTGAATTACCTTCTTTTAATGTGAAAGAGGGTATCTTTGCCGTCCGCATTGCTACCTCATAAAGTACTTTTAAAAACCTGGATCGCACACTGTTCACCTGTAACATAACTAAATACTCACTAAGTCATTAGTTAAAGTTCAGTGGCTTGGGCAGGCCTAGAACGTGCCTAACAAATGTTTTCAGTCCAAACAACTTGGCCTTAAGGTGCATGACTAATCTGGGTGGTAACATAAACTGTATTATTTAGTAGTAAAACGACAGTTTTTCAAGATATCAAACAGTATTGTCCTATGTCCTAGTGATAACAACTAATGGAAAAACAGAAAATGGGAACTTTTTGTTGGCAATGTACATGACGAATGTATCTATTTTTATCCTTGGCACCTTTCTCTATAGCAATTGGGTAAACTAAAGCTGAGGAATAGGCTTATAATAGCCTTGGATATTAACTTGTAAACCTAACTGGACCGACCTTGAATTCCAACTCACATATTCACCCGAGTTTCTCCTTAACTATAAGATGAGAAATAACTAGACTTGACATTCGTGTCATGTTTTCTATGTTCATATCGTTTTCGTGTCATATTCAATATTTTAACGAGTCGTGTCATGTAATGTCCGTTAAAATAAATGGGTATATAACATGACTAGAAATTGCCTCGTTAATATTAATGCTAGGAAACCAAAATTTTAAATTAGATTTGCAAATCAAATGATATGGTTGTTGATGAATGGTTCATTACTACAGCGTTGAATAACGTGCTTATTTTCTATTAGTGACACATCATTTGGTTTGCAAATTTGATTTAAAATTTTGGTTTCCCTAGCATTACCCATATGGATAATAGTTGTAGAAGCGGGTTTCAAACCTGAGACCTCTAGTTTTTAGCTTTAAGGAAGCCTCGTAATCCTCCATTTACCACTTAGCCACCAATTTGTGGTTTATAATAAAAATTAAGAAAATTTAAAAATGTAATCACAATAAATCGGCTCCATGGACCAGTAAAAAATTAGGATCCACAGGTTTCTATCAGAATGTGAAATGAGAAATAATTAGACCTGAGATTCATGTCGTGTTTTATGTATTCCTATCGATTTCGTGTCATATTTTAACAAGTCGTGCCGTGTAAGACCCATTAAAATAAACGGGTATATGACCCGACCAGAAATTGATTCGTTAATTTTAATAGGTAATATGACATGACCCGTTACTTGTTAAAGAAAATATATTTTAAGCCAATAAATAATCAAATGAAAAATATAATACTAAATAGTATACACATACCACATTGTCACATAAATATTACTTGAAACATAAAAATACATTTGTCTTTCAAGCATCACATAAATATTAATTAACGTAGAAGTGTGAAAAATATTGAAAAAAAAATATTATATAAACGCTCGTACTAATTAACAAGCTTTACAACTTTCGTGAAGGGCTCAACTTTCAAATTTGCCACTATAATCACTTAAACTATAGATCGAAATTTAACTATTGATTGTCGTTTACATTTATGCTTCTCACCAAATTTGTCTTTTCAGATCTTCTTTTTTGAAAAACATAATCTTTTTTAGGATGCAGAAAGATGAACGGTTTAGGTCGCTGATATTACATTCAGAGTTTACTGTTAGTAAAAACATTGCTTGGAGTTTATAAAGTGTCTAGAAACTATATAACATCAACTCATATTTCAGTTAAATATAAATATTAGAACATGATATCAATGATTCGAACTATTCATTTTTTTATAAATGTGCTAAAATATCATGTTTAAAAAAATTTGAAAAACAAAATTCAATGAGAAGAATAAGGCGTAAACAACGATTGAAGATTAAGTCTAAATCTAAGATTTATGGATTATGGTGTTAGATTTTAGAGTTGACCGCTTCACAAAGTTGTAAAGCTTGTCATTACGAGTAATTGTGTGTGTGTGTGTGTATATATTTTACATTTTTCACATTCTACAATGATTATTATGAATTTTATTAGTTTTGCACTTAAATAAAAAATACTATTCATGAGGGTTTGAAAGGTTTTAAATCTAAACGCCGATGTAACCATTGTCTATGCATGGAGGATGCAATCCCAATTGTCTATATATTCTTTCCCTTTTTTACACTTGTACATTAATTATTATGATTTTTTTAATGTGTTTGGTATTTTAAGATTATTTTAATATTTTTATTTTTTAATGTGTTTTACAATATTTTAATTTCACTTTTAAGAGAATAAAACATTTATGAGTATGAGTGTATGAGAGAGGGTAAAACAAATTTGGGTAAAAAATTTTTGGGTAACAAATCAAGTAAAAATCTCACAATAAAAATAAATAAATAAAACTTAAATTTTTTAAACTTATATAGAATAATAATACGATAATACATATTTAACATACAATATATACATTATGGTTGTTGTATTTTATGGTAAGTTTTTATTAGTAGTTTAAGTTTAAAATCATCAAAATAATATTTTTCTTAATAGTCGAAACGTGTTACCTACAGGTTACCCGAGTGTAAATCCGTTAACGACCCGTTTTTAACGGGTGACCTGATAACAACCCGATTAGTTGTTATGTTGATCCGAAACTCGTTATTTTCGTGTTATTTTCGTTTCATATTAACAGATCGTGTAAGAAACTATCAGGTTTTATAATAACATGCATGCATTTGTGTGTCAAAATATATAAGAGATTCCATCACACACAATGTTGACTAAGAAATTAGAAGAAGAAAAAACTTTGCTAATAGGCGAGGACCATTCGATCTTCAAATCCTGGGAATCTGCGTGGTTTTCTTGTGCTATATCTCTTAGCTAGTTGTCTGCAGTATACGTGTACGCCATACATTTCTTAATTTTTTAGCTATATTACTAGCTAGCTATTGGCGTATTTTTCCTGCTATCAACTTACTTGCACATTTCTACTTTTTGTTTTCTCCATGTATGTGCACACACTAGTGGATCCATTAAGGGGCATGGGGGGTCAGGTGACCCCCCGAATTTCAATGAACATCCATAGATACCTTACGTGCTGATCCTTCAAACCTCGGTGAATGTCCATGGATACCTTGAGTGTTGCCCTTTTGAAGATTAGAGTTGGCTTCATACTTGCCCTCCAAACGACTTCAGGCCTACCAAAACCCGATGAATGTCCGTGAATACCTTGGGTGCTGCCCCTTGCATACATTAACATGTCTATAGTATACATTTTCAAATGACTTTAGGCCTACGAAAACTTGATCAAATGGCAATATGCATGCTATTTATGGTATAAAAAAATTTGCGCACTATGCGCTCTATTTTTACTGACCCCCCTAATATTATTTCCTAGATCCGCCACTGGTTGCACATGTATTTTGTTGTCTTCAAACTAGCACATTTATGGGTTTTGTGCTCTCATGATTCTCCATACTTGCTCCTAAATCTTTCTTACCACACAATTAAGCATGCACATGCAATTTTCTTTCCATAGCGGCTAACACACTTACAATACCACATTATTCTTGAATTGAGTTTCATTAATATTGGTTTAAGCGGTTGAACAAAAGAGAAAGTTTTTTCGTTTTTATTTTATTGTTTAACTTATAAAAAAAAAAGAAAAAAAAGAATAGAAAGTTTGATTTGGACATACTACGTCACCATGGCCATCAATTGTTAACTGGTTCATTATCCATGACATTGACAAATTAACGAATTAAGTTTTTTTTAGGGTGAATTACATTTTTCCACTTATGGCTATTGCAACATCATATAACATCATTAAAAAAATCACTTTCATACCTCACGTACTATTTTATTTCAATATAATATCTCCGTTCCATTTTATATCCATTGCTCCGTTAAGAGCTGACGTGGCAGTCCACTCCTTACAAAATTAAATTAAAACAAAATGAAAAAGGGTCAATCCCCTCTTCTTCCACCTGAACACAAGGCCTCCATCTCCTCCAATCTCCATAACCACCAGTGCACCACCCCTCCCAATCCCTAAACCCTCATTCTCTAATCCTCCAAATTCTTCTTCTTCCCCAAATTTCCGTAATAAATCTCTCTAGTTTCATTCTCAAGCCGAAAAAGAAACCCCCAGAAATTTCATAGATTTCGAAATTTTATTTCCCAAAATTCAAAAACCCCAAAAAATTCAAAAGATCATGACGTCGACAGAGAACCAGGCGCTTAGGCCACATACAGCGAAACCAAGGTCACCGAAAGACGCGATCTTTGAGAGGCCGCCGCTGTGGGGGGAGAAGTTCGCCAAGGACGAGCCCTCCTCAAATGGGTCGTTGGTCTATGATCTGATGGAGATTTAAATTAAACCATCGGTATTCGAAGGAGATTTAAATTCAGGAACTTCTTTCAATATTGAAAAAATAAGTAATAGATCGTTTGTTTACGCCACAAATAAATCGAACTTCTTTATCATACGATTGTGCCACAGAGGGGTTTAATCTATAGTTAAGCTTTTTCCTATTCCTTATTGATGCGATGAAAGTTAAGCACTCAAATTAAACCCTCTTGTTGTCAAATTGTAGTAATAATGCAAGTAGGGATCGTTCTAAACCGGGGATTAGGAGGGCTTGCTAAAACTTCTAAACTAACTCAAAAACATAAAAACAAAGTTAAAGACGATTGAATAGACTTAAAGAACTCAAAACAGGTTCACAAGACTCAAAATAACTTAAAGACACTCAAAACTGCCTAAAAACACAAACTAGGCAGTTTCTGACTCTAACACAACTTTGGACGAAATTTGGGTTTTGACTTGACTCAAAACACTCTAAAACACAAACAAAACAAATTTTAAACACTTTGAAACAAGAAAGTAAAAGGGGGATTTTAGTTTTGATGAATTTGAAACAAACAAACAAGTTATAAAACTAGGCAGATTGTAAAACGAATTTAAGAAATAAGATGATGGATGGATTAGTTAGAGGTCCGCTCTTCACACATGACACACTTGTATATGAATTGATTTCCAATTGCTTTTCAATAAACTATGATGCTCAACACCCCAGATTAACCGTGATGCACAAATTAACCCTCAGATTTTCCTTTACTCATTGAATTGGATGAATGCATGCGACAACCCAAATCATTCTCTAAAAGTCCCCTATATGAATGCATAATAGAGATACAATCAGAGATCATTACGTTCAATGAAAATCATAAGTGTTGACGAGGCAATTATAACTATGAATGCATGATACAATTGCCAAGAATTCAATTAACGCGATTGTGATAAAATACCTTCGCTACTCATGACTATAAACTTGTAACGATTAGGTAAAACTCATTTATATTCTAGCATCTAATTCATGCATGAAAACTAAGTATGCATCCTTAATAAACATACAAGAATCAGTTATGAATAAAATAGATAATTGAATTGCAATCACAACTTATCAAATCACAATTGGAAGAAATCAATTCAAATCTCAAGCATGTTCATGGCTTCAAACTTCCCCCTAACTAAATAGGGGTTTAGCCACTCATAATTGCAACAAAATTAGACAATAACAATGTAGACATTGAAAGCAAGAACGAAGTACACCTAAAACGCTCCAAAGTTCCAAGCTTGAAACGCCAAGGACCTTTTGTTTTCACCACCTTGTTGTAGCACAAGTGTCTAGGATATGTATGGATATATATGGATGGAATGGATTTGCACGGCTAAGAGAGATGAAAGTGTATGGATTGGTGAGATGTAGTATGGCTAGATGAATGGATGGAGGTCACTACAAAGAAATTGTGTTTGTGAATGGAAGCTCTTTTGATGGATCAAGATTGTCCTTAGGAAGGGGAATGGTGGATGTATTTATAGGCTAAGGAGAGGACCACTTCAATTCCTTGCATGTGCAGTTTGTATGGGTGTGTGATGTCCATGTTTCCCTTTACATTTGCACACACATGACCTCCATCATCTCAGCCACAAATCAACCCATTTTTATGCCCATGTGTGTGTGTTTCCCTTTGCCCATGTGTGTGTGTTTTTCCTTTGCATTTGCACACACATATTTCTTCATTATTTCAGCCAACAATCCACCCATTTTCTGCCCATGTCAAACTGTCCAT